AATTTTTATAATGAGGACACGAGGAGGTTTGGTGTGTCTCGCCTAGACAAAAAAGGCACTTTGTTTGGTCATCTGATAGTGGGATATTATTGCAAATCATGCAGTGCTTAAATGGGCCCAAAGGGGCCATGAACAACTAAGAAAAAGAAAAAAAGGAGGGGGTGCGACAGCCAGAGCCTGAGGCATGCAGAAAAACAAAAACAAAAAGCAACCCTAAAATTTTAATTTAGAAGTAAAAAAGGTTTGTTTCTGTAGCAGGCCACTCTCAAGCCTCTACCCATCCAGGCCTATAAGAGTGCCCACTACTTCTCTTCAAAATTTGCTGCCACCAACCTATCCTTATAATCAAAAGGACCAGGGTTTCTTTCAAAACAAATAAAGTATTTATTGATTACAAGAAATAAAAGTAGTAAATCACAAAGATGTCAATCACTGTATCTTATTTAATCAATCACAGACTTCCCTCACTGACCACTTAGGCACGCAGGCCTCTAAACAAGCTCTTTCTCTCTCACACTCCAGATCTGATCTCTTTCACTCTCTTCACACTCCTTTTCCTTCCAGCTCCTCCCTCTTCAGCCCCACCCTCCGTCACCCCATTGGCTGATGATTCACTGCCCAGCTGTGACGGACAAGTGAGGTCAGGGCTGCCTGTTACAGTTTCACTTTCAGACTCACACAGATAGACATACGGGGCTCTTTAACATGGCAGTTGAAAGAAAAATGGAGGGAGAGTCCTGGTGCTAAGGTACTTATATGGAGGGGAGGGGTCTATTCTAATGTATTTTTTGCTACTGCAGAAGCTCTAGAATATTCCGACGAGGCTCCACACAGGTGCAGATCACCCACAATGTGATTTACAGAGGCCACAAAGAAGAAGAACTGGATACAGTGCATAATCCATTCTGCAGAATATAATAATGCAGGTATCTCATAGCCACCACAAAGGATTACTCAAAAATGTTTTGCATGCCAGTTTCTCACATGCTGGCATTAGGCAATATTGCCAGGAAAACCAATTCAAGCTCAATTATGCTAGTAAAGATTACATTTGAACTATCCATACATTTTTCATAATTTACATTCTAGGCAAGAAGAAAAGGCCTAAGTTAAAGTTATAAGATTGTTCAGCAACTGAAATTTCTTCTTAGTTTAGGAAGCCAAGACAAAATAGTGAGTCAGGATCTGAAATGTACTGGTAGGGAAGGAGAGGTGTGCACATGTTGACGTTGGCCACCACATTTTGGGAAAAATTGAATGATGGCTGCTTATGCAGATCAGAATTAAATGACAGCTCAGCTCTCCAAGTGCCACCCATCAGGAAGGCATGTCTCAGGAAAAGGGATGATCAGCAGGTGGAAAACTGATGGCAGTGTAAGTATTATGGTGATGACAGGGTCAGCACCAGCCCTGGCAAGTTCTGAAGCTCTGGCAGTTAGTTCAGTTAGGCATCCTCCTCAAAAGACTATGGTAACGTGCTCTGTATGGAGGACTTGGAACAGTGTCTAGTGTGGCTGAGGAGGCCAATTCGAGAGTGACAATCCCTTCCACACTGAAGACAAATCCAATCTGTCCCCTATCCAGCTCCCTGATTTTGCTGCTTTTGTGACTTCCTCTTTGCCTTGGCCTGCTGGAAAAGGGTCTCTTCAAAATGGAGAGGCTGTGATGCAACACCTGCCTCCAGGCTGAACGCTCAGATGTCAGGGTTTCCCATCTGTTGAGGGCCATTTCTAAGGCCTTCAGATCCTGCTTGCAAATGTCCTTGTATTGCAGCTGTGGTCTCCCTCTGAGGCAATTTCCCTGCACTAATTGTCCATACAGGAGATCCTTTGGAATCTGACCATCAGCCATTCTCACAACATGCCCAAGCCAACGTAGACGTCGCTGTCTCAGTAATGTATATACTGTATGCTAAAAATTCCAGCTTGTTCTAGGACTACTCTATTTGGAACTTTGTCCTGCCAGGTGATACCAAAAATGTGTCAGAGACAACACATATGGAAGGTGTTCAGCTTCCTCTCCTGCCGTGCACAAAGGGTGCAGGACTCACTGCAGTACAGGAGTGTGCTCAGGACACAGGTTGTATAGACTTCGATCTTGGTATATGTCATCAGCTTCTTATTAAGCCATACTCTCTTTGTGAGTCTAGAGAACATGGTAGCTGCTTTGCCAATGCGTTTATCCAGCTCGACATCTAGAGAGAGTGTGTCAGAGATCATTGAGCCAAGGTACACAAAATCATGAACAACCTCCAATTCTTGTGTGGAGATGGTAATAGAGGGAGGTGAGTCCACACCCTGGCCCATGACTTGTGTTTTCTTCAGGCTGATTGTTAGTCCAAAGTCTTGGCAGGCCTTGCTAAAATGATTTATGTGTTGTTGGAAGTCTTCAGCAGAGTGGGCAACAATGGCTGCATCATTTGCGAAGAGGAAGTCCCGTATGCATTTCAGTTGGACTTTGGTCCTCGCTCTCAATCTAGAGAGATTAAAGAGCTTTCCGTCTGATCTAGTCCGGAGATAGACACTTTCTGTTGCAGTTCCAAAGGCATGCTTCAGCATGACAGCAAAGAAGATCCCAAAAAGGGTTGGTGTCCTCACATAGCCCTGTTTCATTCTGCTTCAGATGTCAACGGGATCTGATGTTGAGCCATCAAAAACTACAGTGCCTTTCATTCCCTCATGAAAGGACCTGATGATGTTAAGGAGTTGAGGTGGACATCCAATCTTGGAAAGTATTTTAAAAAGGCCCTCCCTGCTGACAGGTTTGATATTAACCTGAAGGGAATTGTTAATTCAGTTTTGTAAAATCAGTTGTAAAGAGCCTGAATGATGTAAGTATTTGTAAGAATCTATGTGTAGAAAGACTGTAAAATAATGATTTAAACAGCTGTGGAGATACAAGATGTATGTAGTAAGACTTGTATCAGCTGTGGGAGAAACCAAGGATTGGCTGAACCTGAAATAAAGCCAGCAGTCTCAGCACACACACACTGGTGGTGGTGACATGGCATCGTGGTGTGGAATGTGGTGAAGAAGAAGTGCTGCAATACTGATTTACAAGGACATTGACTACGGAACTGATTTATGACTGAACTCTGTTGATATTGCCGTGTATGACCATTGGACTGAATAAGGACAAAGCTTTATGTATGAACATTGCTTCAAACTTGATTTAATATAACTTTTCTTCAATCAATATTGTCTCTTTGCTTGTTAACTCATTGAGCAATTTTGTCTCTCTGAGAAATCTACTTGTTGGCGCCCCCTGGCACGTTATTAACTCTGTCATTTGCTAACCAAATCAAAGGTCTTTGTGAGATCTATGAAGGCAACAAAGAGTGGCTGTTATTGTTTCCTGCATTTCTCCTGGTATTTTGGGTACTGCTGCCAGGCCAGTTTTTAAGCACTGTTTTTCAGTGCTGTGCATGTTTATTTGTTCAAATGTTTGTTCTGTATTTTTTCTCTTAATTTTTAAAGGGGTTTCCCTCCAATACTTTAAAGCTTTGCAGCTGACACAAGGGCCAGCCAGACTTGAAATCACAGAATAATTTAGTTGGAAGGGGCTTATAAGGCCATCAAGTCCAACCTCCAACTCAATGCAGGAATCCAAATCAAAGCAGAGCTGGCAATTGTCTAAATTTCCCTTGAATACCTCTAACGCTGGAGCACTCACCACCTCCCAGGATAATTGGTTTGCTTCCATACTGCTCTAACAGTCAAGAAGTTTTCCTTGATATTCAACCAAAATCTGTTTCCTGTAGCTTGAGCCCATTTTTACGTTTTCTGCACTCTGGGATCAAGAACAGACCCTTCCCGCCTCTGACAATCTTATTTGAAAAGTGCTATCATATCTTCCCTCAGTCTTCTTTTCTCAAGGTTAAACATGCACAGATCTTTCAGTGTTTCCTCATAGCATTTGGTTTCCAGCCCCCTGGTCATCCTTGTTGCACTCTTCTGAACTTGTTCCAATTTGTAAGCATCCTTCTTGAAGTGTGGTATCCAGAACTGGATAAAGTACTCAGGATGAGATCTAACCAGTGCCAAACAGGGGGGAACTAGTACCTCATGGGTTTTGGAGACTATACCTCTGTTATAGTCTCCTAAAATAGCATTTGCCTTTTTTTTCCAGCCATGTCACACTGTTGCCTCGTATTCAGCTTGAGATCTACAACAATTCGAAAATCATTCTTACTCATAATAAAACTGAACTAAATATCTCCCCTTGTAAATGTAATTCCCCCCTACAGTGTAGAAGTATGTACCTATCCCTGTTAAATTTCATTCTGTTGTTTTCAGTCCAGTGCTCAAGATTTATTTTGTTCTTTTCTTCCAAGGTATTATCTATTCTGCCCAATTTTGTGTCATCTGCAAACCTGATAAATATTTGCTGCACTCCCTCATCCAGGTCATTAATAAAAATGCTGAAGAGCAATGGGCCCAAGACTAAGCCTTGTGGTACTCCACTTGTTTCCTTCTTCCAGTTTGAGAAGGAGTCATTGATAAGCACTCTCTGAGTATGATTCTGTAATCAACTGTGCATTGATTTGACACTTGTCCTAGCTAGCTTGCTGTACAATTCTAAGGTTTGTTAAAAACTGGAACAGACTGTTAACAAGTTCAATCTGGGAGGAGGAGGCTGAATGTACACCCAAAATGTGCTTCCATAGCAGGCTCACTTCTCAGTACATCAGTATGCATCATAAGATTCATAAAAGAAAATAAGCAAGTAGCCCGCAGCCAAAGCATGCTTCCTTGTTGCATGCCTCTGGATCAAATTCAATCTGCCTCTTAATTACCAAGATGAATGCTGTGATGAAAAACCTATGGGTCATCTTCAAAGGGTTTCAGCATTCTTAGTTCAATTCCAGTTGCAAATATGTAACAAAGACAAATTGCCATTGTTCTGCTTATTCTCAGTTTTTAGATTACTTAGTTTTTTATATCACTTACAGCTGCCATTTCAGAATAATCAGGTGAGAAGCAACAGCATGAACACTTTACCTGTAGGAGCATGCATAGCAGAGCTGGGGATAGTAGCTGCATCTTGTGGTACAGTACTAGTGTCAGGTTCAGGAGTGCTGGTTGTAGGGGAGGTGGGTGCTGGATTTAATGATGTTCGAGGCTTTCTCTGCAAAGAATCATATTCATATATTCTAATAGAAAAAAGTATAATGAACAACGAAAAAAGCTGTTATATACTTAAAACACAACCCTGAGGACTTCTTCTCAAGAAAGTCAAGAGGAAATGGTGTATTAGTGGTACAAATGTCTAAAAGACAAGAGATAAAAATAGCTTGAGACAATAACAGGTAGGAGAGCCATAAAGAAATAATTAATAGTGCTGAATGGAGAGAAATTTTGGAAGGCATAACTTTTTAACCTGATTACTACATTTACAACCTCCCCTTCTCTTAAGAACCAAAACCAACCAATCAAAATATTCACAGGAAATCTTCTACTTAGAGAAATGAAACTACCTCAAGTTCTTTTCTATTACTTTAAACTGTTTGTAGAAACAAAGGAAGCTACTTTGTACCATGTCAGAATATTTGTCAATCTTACTAAGAAATATCAACTGTAGTTGGCAGTAGCCATAAAACATCTCAGACAAAGAATGAATTTTCTAGAACGTGCTACTTTATTTACTGGAGGTGTTAAAAGACTAAACTTAAGTTCTTCTCCATAAAAGCAAGTAGTGTACTTCTTTGCTACTAAACTAAGTTTTTTCTCCTATTTACAGAATCCATGTGCAAATCATAATCTCATGCAGCATCTCATGCATGCTTTGAACATTTTAGGACATTGTATCACCCTTTCCTAGAATTGCTATTTCCCTTTTAACCTATGAACTTGCAGGCATGGACTGTTTTGTTACAACTGACTGCATAAGCAGGAGGCTTTTTGGCTGAGAAGCAGCATAAAAATGATTTAAGCAAAGTTTGTACGATGTATTACTCAAAGGAAGACCTCAAAGCAAGGAACCTTTGGTCAGTGTCAGACCTGGTTCTACCATTAGCTCTATATTAGAAAACCATTATGTTGCAATGCATATAAATAGAATAGCTTCTGACTACGGTATGCATACAGAATTCAGCCATGCACACACAACACCTACCTTGCTGCCAGGCTTTGGTCCCCTCTTTTTGGGGAATTTCAAAGGCTCCATTGCCTTTGAAGGGGGAAAGTTGGGGTGGTTAGTCAAAGCCTTGGATGTCCGGCCACGCTTGCGACCAGGTTTGCGCCCCCTCTGTCCAGGATGATGCTCCAGAAGAGTTTTTGTGCCACTATGCATGGTGCTCTTTTCAGAAATCACATCAGGGGTAGAAAATGGGCTTTTTGGAATCACTACTATCACAAAAGAGGAAGGAGGGAAGGCAATCAAGTACCACCACAACAATCCAGTGCAAACCAATTTCTGTAACATCTCTAGATTCAACCACTATAAGGGGGTCAACTTGGAAAGGTGTCATGTTTTCACCATTCTGCAAACATTACAATGATTGCACACCAATAGCAGCTATTTTCCTATAGACTCCTCTATCAGATGGTTTACTCCTGAAATTTAACAGCAATATTCCATTGGATAAATTCAGAACAGGGGAAAAAGCACACACTGAAGTGATCTATAGAAATAGAGATAAAATTGTAAATTTGAAAGACATTTTGTAGAGTAGAGATGTGCAGCCTGCGCTAACCAATAATCTGGTGGTACCTTTAAAAAAATAACAAATATTTTGAGGTAGAAGTGGCATTGTGCACAGAAACTTCACTTTGTCCTCAGAAGACTTGTTAAGTAATAGTTGAAGATCTGTAAGAGGCAAGAGAAGCTTCTGGAAACTTAATAGTTAAATCAATAGGGTGATAGCATACAAATAATGCAACCAGAGATGGGCACAAATTGAAAAAATGGCAATTCGTTGTGATTCATAATTTAAAAAAAGTTAATGAAACACAAGTTCATGATTTTTTCTGATGAATCGATGAATCTACTGTTTATTCATCTTGACTTTAAAAAGAGAGGTTACTTAGCTGTAACTCTGGTTCTTTGAGTGGTCCTCTGTGAATTCACACTAATGGGTTAAGTGTGCGCATGTGCAGAGGCTTCGGATGCTTTGGAGCGAAAAAGATTGCTAGGCCACGTGGTCCGCTCATCCTAGTGGTTACCTTAGTTCCCCAATGCCGCTGCTGCTCAAAATGAGAGACACACGTGACGGACAGAGGGAAGGACGGGCGGGACATGTGAATTCACAGAGGACTACTCGAAGAACCAAAGTTACAGGTAAGTAACATCTCTTTCTTCTTTGTGGCCTCTGTGAATGCACACTAATGGGTGATTGACAAGCTTACCTTCCAAGGTGGAGGGACGTCATGGCAACACAGAAGACAGGACTGCACTGCCAAATCTAGCATCTTCTTTAGCCCGTACATCCAACTGGTAGTAAGAGGTGAAGGTGGAGGGCATGGACCAAGTGGCAGCCTTGCAAACATCATAGATAGGAACACCTCTAAGAAAGGCTGTCGAAGCTGCTACCGCTCTTGTAGAGTGAGCTCATATGGTCGTAGGGAGAGGCCTTTTTGCAAGCTCATAGGCGAGACAAATGGTCTGTACCAGCCACCTGGAAATGGATTGTGCAGAGATGTGGTGTCCCCGGTGAGGTAAATAAGGGGAGATGAATAAACGGTTAGATTTCCTAAAAGAGGCAGTCTGCTTAACATAGAATGACAGAGCACAGCACACATTTAGTAAATGTAAAAACTTCTCAATGTTGTTAGATGGTTTGGGAAAAAGGTCGGCAGATTGCTTGATGTGAAATTCAGAGCATACCTTGGGGAGAAAGGAAACATCAGGATACAAAGTCACCTTGTCTGGGTGAAACTGCAAAAAAGGGGGAATCAACCCTAAGAGCTGCCAGTTCGGAAGCACGCCTGGCAGAGGTCACAGCAACAAGAAAAAGGACTTTATAGGACAGAAGCCGTTCAGAGGTTGTTGCCAGCAGTTCAAAGGGCGGTAAAGACAAATGGTTCAACACCGTATGGAGTGACCACAGAGGAGTCGGAGTTATCCGAGGAGGAGCAAGGAGAGCCACACCCTTAAGAAAAAGTTTTACTCTAGGGTGGCGAAACAACAGAGCCGCATCAGAGTCCTGGGGTTGATGTGCTATGATAGCTGATAAATACACCTTGAGAGTAGACAGGATTAGATAATTATCGAAAAGGTATGAAAGAAAAAACAAAACTGCTTCCATAGATGTTGGAACTGTTGGTAGACTATGGGTAGCAGCAAATTTCTGAAACAATAACCACTTGTGGGCATATATGGTTTTGGTGGTCAGCTTCCAAGGGTGAGACAGGATAGTCTCTACTGGGGTGATATTCTCCAGGCTGTTAAGTGTAAGGAGTTTAGATCCGGGTGGTAAGTTTTCCCATCGTGCAACGTCAGAAGGTGTGGAAGAGATGGCAGACGCATGAACTCCGAAGCCATGGTTCAGAGCATTGTGAACCATGGCTGTCTCTGCCAGTAAGGGGCTATCAGAATGGCATTTGCGTTGTCTTGCTTGAGTTTCACAATGATACCTAGGATAAGTGGAATAGGTGGGAACATGTATAGCAGATCTCTGTTCCAAGGGACCATGAGTGCATCTCCCAGTGATCCTGGCCCCTTGCCCACCCTGAACAAATACGCATCACACTTGGTGTTGTGAATGTTAGCAAACACATCTATTGGTGGATTTCCCCACCTCTTGCAAATTTGAAGAAAGATCTCTTGGTTGAGAGCCCATTCATGTGTTTGAAAGGTGGTTCGACTGAGTCTGTCTGCCCAAACGTTGTCTCAGGTGGATATGTGAACTGCTGATGGAAAGATGTGGTGTTCGAGACACCATTCCCAAAATTGAACTGTCAAGTATAGAAGAGGGAGGGAATATGTGTCCCCCCCCCCCGTTTGTTGCTGTAGTGCATCGCATTGGTGTTGTCCATCGTGACTTGAACCGCGGTGCTTGCAAGAAGGGGCAGAAATGCTTGAAAGGCCTTGAACATTGCCAGGAGTCCCAGGTTTCTGATGTGCAGGGATGCTTCCTGTGGAGACCAGGATGCGTGAACTTGGAGGTGTTGGCAGTGTGCTCCCTAGCCTACCATGCTGGTGTCTGTCATAACTCTGGAAGTCAGAGGGGCAAAGGGCCTGCCTAGAAACTGATTGAGCAGTTTGGTCCACCACAGAAGTTGTTTTGCTAGCTCTGGGGTGACCTGCATAAGCTTCCTAGGAGAACTGGTGAGTGGATTGAAAAAAGTGAGATACCAAGCTTACAGGGATCTCATTTTCAAATGCGCATGCTGAATGACTGAGGTGGTGGAGGCCATGAGTCCTAGAAGCTTTTGGGTACAGTGAGCCATCACCTGCACGTGTGGTTGGAACTGCCGTATCAGAGAGGCTATCTTGGTGGCTTATTCCTTGGGAACGAAGGCTCATGCATGTGGAGAGTCCAGCACTGCACCTATGTAAGTGATCAACTGGACCGGGCGTAGGACGGATTTTTCGTAGTTTACCTTGAGACCTAGGTCCTCCAGAAGACCTAGTGAGATGTATATGTCTTGTGGCCTGTTGTCTTGAGAGAGCTATGAGAAGCCAATCATCTATATATGGGTAGATGGCTATGCCCCATGTGCGCAGAAAAGTGGCAACAGGTGCCATGCACTTGGTAAAGACGCGAGGAGCTGCAGATAGGCTGAATGGTAAGGCATTGTATTGGAAGGCTGTATTCCCAAGGGCGAAGCGAAGAAATCTGTGGTGGTCCACTCTTATGGAGATATGGAAATATGAGTCGCTAAATCTATCAAAGCAAACCAGTCTCCTTCCTGAATGAGAGGAAGGATGCGCTCCAGAGTAACCATACATAAGCGATGGTAAGCGACAAATTGATTTAAGTCCCGAAGATCTAATACTGCTTGGAAAGAGTCAACCTTCTTTGGAATGAGGAAGTACCTGGAAAAGAACCCAGGATTGTTTGGGTCGATGGTGACAGGTGAAATGGCTGATTTTTAAAGAAGATGACAAATTTCTTTTTGCAACGTAAGGGAAGGAATGTAGATCTCTTGATGGAGGAAGTTCTATGAATTCTATTGCATAACCGTGGGTGATGAAAGAAAGGACCCAGGAATCTGTAGTGATCATAGTCCAGGAACTTAGAAACGGAGCAAGGTGGGTATGGGAACGGAAGGTAGAATAAGATGGGTAGAACTTGTAGAGTCAAAGACTCTGCTTGGACTTTTTCTCTGTCTTCCTATAGGTCTGACGAGGGCGTTGGCGGTGATCCTGATTTCGAGATTGATATGATGATGTTTGCTGAGGTAAGTACCTTTGTTTACTGGAATAGGACCTGTAGGAATGGTATGGCTGGTATGAATACTGACGCTTCCAATTATATTGTTGTGGTTTATAATACTGTTGTGTGTCATAGGCACGTGCTGTTTTCTTCATTTTATGCAGGTTTTCTAAGAGATCATCCGTCTTGGGATCAAAGAGACCAGAGCCATCAAACGGTAAATCCTCTATTCTTTGTTTGCAATCATCTGTTATGCCGGCTGAACGAAGCTATGCATGCCTTCTAATCGCCACTCCTGTCATCAAGTGTCTAGACGCTGACTCAATAATGTGTCTAGCACTCACTCGTTCTTGCTTCACCAGAGCCATAGCTTCTAGGTGTATGGAAAGAGTGATTTAAGCATTGCGGGGACCACTTGCAGAGATGCAAGAATCTTTGACCACAAGTGTTTCTGATATGCACTCATGGCTGCCATATAGCTGGCAGCCTGGAAAGCGAATGATGCCAAAGAATAGACTCGATGTCCAGCTTAACATCCCTCCTTATTACTTGGCATGGCTGTTGACCTTGTACACGAACGTGCCTGAGTAACATCAACCACAACTGAATTAGGAGGCGGATGCTTAATTAAAAAGTCAGCATCTGGACCATGAATTTTGTACAGATTTTCTATTCTCCTTGACATCTGAGTGGTTGAAAAGGGCTTGTCCCAGGTCTCCTTCAGAACACGAAACAGGGATGGAATGAAAGATAGATGGAATGGAGAAGCAGACTTCTGGTCAATGTCCTCATAAATAAACTTTGTCAGTTTCAAGCTGTGGAGGCTGGTGTACTGTCAAATCAAGGGCTTTAGCAATGTGTTGTATCATAGCTGAATAAGTGGTAAAATCCGAAGAAGGTGAAGGAGGATTTTCATCATCAATTTCAGAATCTGGAGTGTTGGTATTAGGAGCAGGTTCCACTGGTACCAAAGAGGTAGAAGAATCAGAGTCGGAGTTCTGGGAATTGGAAGAATGAGCAGAATCCAAT